AAAGACCAAATATCTCTGCAACGTTTTTTTTTTTTTTGGGGGTAAAATCCTTGCAACGACTACCGGGCTGATGACCACAAATATCACAACTCATGTTTTCTCAAATCTCCAATCATTGATTTGATCAATCGATGAAGCTTGGATCCCTGATTTTAGGCCAGATGATGGATCGATATATATATCTAGAATTTCTTGAAATTTTGTTGTATAACTATGTCAAATAGGCATCGGCGTCGTTATCTCCATCATCAGAAAAAAAATAATAATAATAAAATAAATAAAATAGAGAAATCTTTCTCAGTTGATCGTCATTTTAGACTCACCAGAATTGCATCACCATAGTTGATCCCGCCGGAATCACGTCACCACCGTGAGCCCATCATTTACTTTGCTGACAGTTTTGGGAATTCCCGCTGGATCGATTATGTTAGAGAGTTACACAAGGGCAATTTATATGTACAAATTTACAGACAGAGCGAGAGAAGAAAGATGGGTATTGTCGCCAAGAAATTTGCCGATTCAGACCATCTCCACCGACTGGTTCCATCTGCGCCAGCCCATCTCCACCGTCCTCTCCACTGACGGATCTTCATCGCCCTAACCAGCCAAGCTCGCCGCCGTTCCTCCGTTGCCGACGGATCCTCATCGCCGTCCCCGTGGCTACAGTACTTTCCCCTTTTGGTTTGCAGAGACATATATGATATATATTGATATATATGTATAATATATCTCATATATATATATATATTATATCAAGGCCCAAATACCTCTGTTTGGCTAGAAGTGTAGCACAAACCAGTTCCAAAAACTAGTTCTGTGGTGGTATGCTGGCAATCTCCCATTGGTTATTGAATTTTTTTTGCCATGTCTGCAAGTAAAGATGACAATATTTGAAACTGCGTCCTTTAATAGTAAGGGCAAAATTGTTTTTTGCCTTTTTCGATGACCTGATGGAGTAAATTGCAACAAAATAATAGTGTAAGGGGTTTTTTGTAGTTCAGGAGGGTTAGTTGCAAAACTTCAATAGTTCAGGAGAATTTTTTGCATTTAACCTTACAAATTTTGATAATTATAAAAGTTGACTCAATTGAGCTTCAAAAAAAACCTAAGAAAACATCCAAAATTCAAAAAGACCTTTATATTTTCTAACTCATTTGTCTAACAAATTTTCAAATTCAGAAAAGATCCATGTCATTTCTCCTCTCGCGAGCTCCACAAAAATTTAAGATTCAAAATAAAAAATAAAAAAAAAAAAACAAAAAACAACATCCTTCGTTATTTATTATTCTGTTCAAAAATTCTTATCATATTATAGTTAATGGTTGTTCCTACTGAATCAAATTCCTAACCCTGCCTCTGTTTGGAATGACATCCGTTTTTCGCACGCCCGTACTTTCAATCCCCTGGAAAGGCCAGTTTTGTGAGACCAAAGACTTTTCAAACCCATAAGATCAAAACGAAATAGGTCATAATTCAGGTGCAACAGTGCCACTATTTGGAAGAGTAAACAAAAATTCGGTGACAAACAAAAATAAAGAACTTAAATTTTAAACAGCATAGAGAGAGAGAGAGAGAGAGAGATTTTCTTTTTTCAATGGAAAATGTTTTTAGTGTTTGACCAAAGTTTTTTATGGGGAAGAAATTTATACACACTATATTTATGCACTCACTTTACTTATTTAGAGACTCCAACCTTTACCATTTATCATAAAGTTGGATTTTAAAAAATCTTCTACCATCGTTATCCTACAGTGCTGAATCATGTTGCTTGCTCCAAGTTTTTCTTTTTTTTATTTATTTTAAGTTCAAACTAGCAAATACACGAGAGAGCGTATCATCTAAAACTAATCTCTATTTATTTTTTTTATTTTTTTAATGTTTAACAAATGTCTAAATTGAGGGTGAGGTCGAATCATCGCCCGGGATATAAAATAACTTATTCGTATTTTTGTTATAGTTTAATATTTTTTTTTTTGGTAAATATTTTTCGATAATCAAATACCAAAAAATAAAAATATTTTTTTTAAAAATATTTTACATCTAGACAAACCCACCGAATTACTCATTATGAATACTACACCCTGTTAAAGTTTTAGTGCAAAGTCAAAAATTATCTATTCCGCAAATTTTACGAGGATGATGACTCATAAATAAATAAAAATAAAAAAATCTTATTGACATCAAAAAAAGATTTGGTGTAGAATGCTGACGTGTGAAAAATCGTCAATGCTGATTAGTAAGTACCTCTTAAAAAATAAAAATAAAAAATCATCAAATTAAAGATGAGTTTACTTCCACTAATTGATTAAATTAAAATTATTCATATGGAGAGTCCCATCAATCATGTTTTCATATATATATATAATATTTTTCTCCAGCCTATTTCAGTGGTACGGTGGGGAAGAGTAAAGCCCAATAAAATCAAGTCGATTACAAAAACAAGATGGCCATGTGCACCCCGGGAAAATGGCCATCAGAGAATAATCGTCCAACCTCACGTTCACATGCTGCTCTCCGCGAGGGCAATAAATACTTATAATTTGTTTGGTTAGATACTCTTTGTACACGTCTTGTGCTTTGTTGTGTATACATTTGTCAGTGAGAGGTTAGATACTCTTTGTACACGTCTTGTGCTTTGTTATGTATACATTTGTCAGTGAGAATAATTTGTGATACAATATCAACGTTTTCACATTTTCGTAACGATCAAATGGGACAAATGTACCGTTCTGCGCCAGAGTACTTTGTGGATATAACCATTTCTTCAAGATTGCCAACACATTTCTTATAAGAACATGTTTGGTAAACGCTTTGGTTTTGCTTTTCTAGCTTAATCTGAAACAAAACAAGTGTTATTTGATAAACGCCTTAGTTATGCTATTTTAGTTTAATCTAAAACAAAACAAGTGTTTTATTATAGAGTGTGTTGAATAGTAAACGTAAATATGTTTGCTGACGTCCATTTGTTACAAGATTTTTGAAAACAAAAACATCAAAATATGTTTGGAAAATGTAATAGTTGGTTTAAAAGTGTTATTTAAGAAATTTTTTTTTTTTTTTTAAAAAAATTCTTTTTTATTACCCGTTGTAAAGTGCTACATGTAAAAACACGGAATTAGTGTTTTGATTTTTTATCATTATTCATGAAACAAAAATACCAAAAACAAAATGCTGACCTACCAAGCCCTAAGAGAATTGGTGTTACATTTTCGAAGGGTGTTGAATTTTCAAAGTAATAAATGTTTCATTTTTGTAGAAGCATCTATTCCGCCAGCAACTTTCTGAATATAGGATTTTTGGCACTCTTAATTCCACCCAATTAGGGCACATGAGGCTTGAAATGAATATAAGTTGGCCCGATTTAAATCCTTCATAGGATGGTTTGGATTTGGATGATGTTAATACCTCAAATGGATCGAGTTCTTGACCCGAGATCCAAAAAAACCATACGGATCCAATATTAATTGCTTGGACCTTGACACTAAACTATGGGAATGAACTCAATTAATCCACCTCATTCATGCCCTACACGATCACTCCAACAAACCATTGTATTCAAAATTCCACATAGGTGTCGACCCCATGACTCATGATCACTAAAAACAATTGCCTAGTCGAAAGTATTTTAAAAAACAAAAAAAATGAACTGTGCTCTCATATAATATAATTCTTTTATTTGATCCTCCTTGACTAAACCATGACTAAGCCCAGTCGAAAATGTCCCCAAAAAAAAAAAACATTAATTATTGAATGGAAAGGAAAGAAGGAAAAAAATTGAAATGAAATGAAAGGAAAGGAAAAGAAAGAAGAGAGGACTGAGACATCCTTAGAAAAAAGATTGTTTCTCTTTTTGTTGGTTGGATTGGATGACAGAGAACAAGAAAAACAAGCAATTTAATTTGATCGATGAGATAAAACGAAAAATAATCTTTCAAGTTATTTTTTACCATTAAACCGATAAGATAATGTAATAATTTAAAAATGCAATAATAAACTCACTTGTCTTCTCTTATCTTCCACCCAAATATGGGTGGATAAAAATTTGTGAATGATGACTCGTCCGGACTCATTCTTCGTATTATTCTTTCTCTCCTTACATCTTCACTACCAAACAAAAAAAAAAAAAAAATTGTTCTTTCTTTCTTATTTTCCTTCCACCTCTCTTTTTTCCTTCTTACCGAAGAGGGACAGAGCCAGAATTTTTGTTCAGGGACACGTTGTACACTAAATACATATAAATTAATATTTAAGGAGTATATATACATAAAGAGAAATAGGTGGATATATATATATATAGAAATTGATATTTTTGGAATGAGGTAAATTAATAAATTACATATATAGAATATAATGAAACAATTTAAGAAAAAAAATTTAAAGAAACATACAGAGTATACAAGGGAAGGAGAAATTTGAGGAGGGCACCTTTACACATTTTCAAAAAATATATACCTATGATAGAAATATATATATATATAATAAGGAAACAAAAAAATCCAGGGGGGCAGTCCTATAATGGCTCCGTCCCTGCTACTGAACATAGCATTAATTTCATATGAAGTATTGATTAAACTAATGATGCCATCACCATGATGTAAATGAAGTCGATATCTATTGGAGAATAGATAGGTACTCACGGTTAAGATGCACTAATGTGAAAGAGTAACAAATACACCCATCATCTTTAATTATAAAATAAAAGAAAAACATCGACGAGTATATACCTCACCAATTATAATTTCATAATTAAAGATGATGTGTCCATTTGTTATTCGTCCACATCTCTGTATCTATATGTGATACTATGGTTTATTAACATCCAATAAAATTGGAAGAGAAAAGAAAACATATACAATAAGTAAAGAGGGAGGTTAGGCCATACAAACACCATTAAAAACAATTATAACTGAAAGTATAGCTGTTCCAAAGTTGGTACCTAGACAAAGAAGTAACTTTGGAAACTTTCAAAACCAAGTATCAAATATAGGTTTAACAGGAGATTGACTGCAAAATGACACTAATATAAAATTTCTCATACAATAAATATTGACATAACTGTTCCAAGAAAAAAGAAATAAAAAAAGAAACCATCACAATCACTCCCCAACTAGAAACATCCTACTAAAAAGACTGGATGCACCACAACTGATGCAAGGGCAAGGCGAGGTAACGCATGTCAGCATCCAAGGCATTAACACTTGGAATGTAAACCACATTGAATGAAGACATATGATACATAATGATCATATTATGCGCTCCGTTCATAATCCAGACTGACTCCACGTGACACGACACAAAAAAAGCCACCGAAAGCAGGAGGAAGAAAAAACATTAAAACAAGAACTCACCAGCAAGCAAATGGTAGAATTTAGAAGCACTTCCTGTGGACAATCGATGGACCAGACTCATCATATTCACCCTTCGAAATCCACATCTGATAATACAACACAAGGCAAGCATGTCAATTACAAGCCAAACACAACTTATTTCAAGTGAACAAACAATCAGAGGATTCAAAGAACAAAAAGAATCACCTGCTGAAAGGTGCTGAGAGATGCAAGGATTGAACCACCAATCCAGACACTGTACTTTCTCTCAGGTGGTGCCACAACCTTGATCTTCATGCTGCTGGGAGCGAGAGCAGTAATCTCCTTGCTCATACGGTCTGCAATACCCGGGAACATAGTTGAACCACCACTGAGCACAATGTTGCCATAGAGATCTTTCCTGATATCAACATCACACTTCATGATGGAGTTGTAAGTAGTCTCGTGGATGCCTGCAGCTTCCATTCCAATGAGAGATGGCTGGAAGAGGACTTCTGGGCAGCGGAATCTCTCAGCTCCAATTGTAATGACTTGCCCATCAGGCAGTTCGTAGTTCTTTTCAACAGAAGAGCTACTCTTGGCAGTCTCTAGTTCCTGCTCGTAATCAAGGGCAACATATGCAAGCTTCTCTTTCATGTCACGGACAATTTCCCGTTCTGCTGTGGTGGTGAACATGTAACCTCTTTCAGTGAGTATCTTCATGAGGGCGTCTGTGAGGTCTCGGCCAGCAAGGTCCAGACGGAGGATGGCATGGGGGAGAGCATAACCTTCATAGATTGGCACAGTGTGACTCACACCGTCACCAGAATCCAGCACAATACCTGTTGACAGAAAGAGATAAAAATTGGACTAATATAAAGATGGCATCAAAAAATGAAAAAGACGGTTATGGTGATTGGTACCAACCAGTTGTTCGACCACTGGCATATAGAGAGAGAACTGCCTGGATGGCAACATACATGGCAGGCACATTGAAAGTCTCGAACATTATTTGGGTCATCTTCTCTCTGTTGGCCTTGGGGTTGAGAGGTGCCTCAGTGAGAAGCACAGGGTGCTCTTCAGGAGCAACACGAAGCTCGTTATAGAAAGTGTGATGCCAGATCTTTTCCATGTCATCCCAATTGCTTACTATGCCATGTTCAATGGGATACTTCAATGTGAGGATACCTCTTTTAGACTGAGCTTCATCACCTACGTAGGCATCCTTTTGACCCATGCCAACCATGACACCAGTATGTCTAGGCCGACCAACAATGCTGGGGAAAACTGCCCGGGGAGCATCATCACCGGCAAACCCAGCCTGTATATTGAACACAACATAGATGTTAATTTAAGTTCAGAAAACTAGAGAAAATAATAATAAAATAAAAAACTGCACTTTATAACCATGAAAGTTATTAACTAACCTTGACCATTCCGGTTCCATTGTCACAAACTAGGGGCTGAATATCCTCAGCATCAGCCATCTTTTACAGAACTGCATAACAAATATTAAGAGAATCAAATGTGACAAAGAGAACTCCAAAATGTCATCAACATATAGTTACTGAGACTTTTTATGCATGACCACTCTCTCATGCTCACATCATTTAAGCAAGCTAAGGAAAAATAAAGGAAGGAACATGGTTGAATTTTACATACTCATAGCTGACTGAATTAGCTACATTCGCAATCTAAAAGAATCATAGTATCACCTCAATTTTCTTCTTATCCATACCAAATTCTGAACTGCTCAGTTTCAGTACTCTTCACTTATTATATAAATTATAAAACTGCAATTCCACACAACTCTGATATTCTGCACTGTATCATGGTTTTAATTTAAATATTAAGCCTTCCGATATCCGTGTCTTTAGTTCAACAATATGCAGATTTTGACTTATCAAAAAAAAAAAAACAATATGCAGATTTTGGTTGTCATTGGAATTTAATATGCATGTATTAATTTTAAGCCATTGCATGACAGCATTTACATTACATAAGCCATTGCATGACAGCATTTACATTGCATAATAAGCCATTGCATAATAAGAAAGAAAAGGAGAAAGCACTTTCTTAACGTCAAGAACTTCATTCCAATCTTCCTATCAACATAAACAGAACGAAGTAATAAAGCATTTCACGAAATTGATACCAGAAAGAGTACACGAATTTCTAATGAAAACTGGGGCTAAAAAAGAGAAAAAGCAAACACGGAAAATCACATTTTTGATGAAGAAAATTGCAATTGCAATAGCAATTGCGTCTTAAATCCAAATAACAATAACAATAACGTCTTAAATCCAAATAGCAACTTAAAGTAGTTTGCTCTCTTCTTCAGCAAATCAATATGCACCAGACTAGAAGTAAACTGGTATGAGTCTACACAGCTTTTGTATTTTTTCAAAAAAAAATAGTAATCTTGAAAAGCATTAACAGATCATCAAATCCATATGCAGATGAACCCATATACTTCCATTTACAAGTTCAATCATCCTCCCAACAATTTCAAATAGTAGATCGAGGTGAAAGAGAACCAGATCAGACAACTAATCAACTCATCATGAAAAAGGGAAAACCATTGACAAAAAAAAAAAAAAATTTTAAATGAGGCTCAACCATAATTTCATCTGTTATAGAATAAGATCGAGAACTAAACATCAAATGCAGCACCAGTCGCAATAAAATAGCATAAATCTGAACAAAAACAACAGATCGGAACGATTTGAGCCTTTACAAAACTAAATCTGACATTATCATCACAATCAAACTCACTAAATAATTACAAACTAACAAAAGATCGATTTAAATTTACACAACTGAATCATCCAAGTTCAAATCACATAATTCAAAGTTTCAACACTTTGCAGATCTCTGAGTACATACAAAATTCAACTAAATAACACAAAATTGCACAATCGAATCTAATAAAATAATAAGTATTAGAAACAGATCAGTAGATATATTTTTGTGTAGGTTGTGACTTACGTATTGATTGCAGATAAAAAGACAGAGAGAAAATGGAAGTAAGATCGAAGAACAATCAAGCCAACCCTCCGATGACGATGGCTGGCTCTCTCTCTCTCTCTCTCTAGATTCTATCTCTAGAGTTTCGCCTTTCTCGGTGGAGACGCCAAAAGAGGGTTGATGGATATGTTATATAGTAGGAGTACAAAGGGTGGGATTTGAAATGCAAATGAAATGACGACTAAATTAACTATTTTAGACAGAGTACAGAGAGATGAATCATACGACAGAGGAAAGAGAATTTTCCAAATCACGATCGTTAGCTGAAATTGATCTCATCCGTCCAATCTGTGTCACTGGATCCTATTGATAGCGGAAATGGAAATTGAAAGCGGAAAGAAAAAGTAAAAAATAAAAATATATTAAAAGAAGTTTAGTGAATAAAATTTTTCTTTACGGTGGTGGTAAGAAAATTTTATGAGACAGTTGGGCATGTTCGGGAATAAAAATAAATTAAAAGAAGTTGGGTGAATAAAATTTTTCTATATGGTGGTGGTAAGAAAATTTTATGAGACAGTTGGGCGTGTTCGGGACCTTGCTTTGTTTTTTGGTGTTTTTGTTCGAGGCTTGGTATCAATTGTGATTCCCAAAACATGTTTGGCGTGGATTGTTTCGATTTTAACAGTGTCGAAACAAATTCAAAAAATTGGGTCAATTTACCATTTTGGTGTTTTATCTTGTTTTAGGCACTATTGGCCCAACAAATCATTGTAGCGCAGGAAGCAAAGTTGGCCCAACTTAAGCATACTTGCAACGCATATATAAACCAAACTTATAACATTTCACTCCATATACTAGGGTTTCTAAAGAGCTTGAAGGATGCGATTCTTGGCAACTCCACTATGTGTGCTTGTTTGGCTGAAAACGATTACCGATCTTTGCTTTGTTGTTTTCACTCAAACCGACCACCGATCTTTGCTATTTTGTTGTGTTCGTCAAAGAACAAGGCAGGTTTGAGTAATTTTGGCCCTGTTGAACATATTTCATGTTTCTCAATTCGTTGTTCGAATGTTGTGGTTAAAAATCGTCATATATTATGACGACCCTGGGTTTTACAAACCCAGTGTGTCCTGTGATAACCCAAAACGGATCCAAAATGCGGAAGCTAAAAAGAAATATGGCCTCTAGAGATGTACATCATCCCTAAGACTCAAAAGTGGCTTCCTGAGGAGCCCCGATGCTCAATGAAAGCGAGAAGGAAACAAGGATTCCAAAACCCTACAAGAAATGGACCAAGGGTAAAATGGTCATTTCACCCCGAAATGGTTGCTACCGTGCACACCATTGGAAATACAATGAAAAATTAATAAATTTAGACTTAAGAATCGCTTGATTCGGAGTCTAGACGGAAGAGATATGAAAATAGGACAAACAGCGTCCTCCGATTAAGAGGTACCACGACCCTATCTCACTAAAACTAGTATAACTCTCACTACGGTTGGAGTTTTTGAGTGTGATTGGTATCATTGGAAAGATAACTTCAAGCTCTTGAGTTTAGGCTTAAGAATGACCTGATTTGGATCAGAATTCAAGGAGATATGACCCTCTGAAGTTGACTCAAGAAATCTATCCAAGAAGCTGAAAGGAAACCAAGCTCCAGGGAGGATCAACCAGCTGACATACAGTACTAGCCGGCCGAAACTCAATCATCAGCCAGCTGATGAACAGTACCAGCCGGCCAGAACACCACTTTTCATTTGCAAACCTACTGGAATTAGTCTCGAGCAGTCATCAGTCGGCTGATGACTGCTATCAGCCGACCGATTGACCTGGTAGCAACAGAAAAAGTTGTTGCAATCCATGGGGAAGATGCTTGGCTCAATCCTAAAGCTATGCATGCTTCCCATTTGATCCGGACAAGTTTCAAAACATTCCATTATCACAATTACGCATCATTAACATGCTAAAATATGAGGGAAGCTTAAATCAACTCTAATGCATGAATTTTTCATAAAATCGCCCAAAAATAGTTCTAAAGTTGAAACTTAAGAGTTTTGTGAAATGTGGACATGCACGCAAACGTAAAAAGACATTTAAGACGTGTCACAATGGTCCGCGGCCTTAAAATAATCCCAATGCAAAATATGACCTCTTAACGGCCAAAAATGCCTTAAAATGCAATAAATGGAACAAAAATACAAAACCTATAACAAAATGGTGTTTGGCCCTTGGCCATACCTCGTACATAATCATAGAGACCCTGTGAAAGAAAAAGAATGGAATTCCCGCACCCGATGCAAACATGGTGAAACAAAGACTTAACATTTTCCATTATTTTCATAGTGAACCTTGAAAACGAAAGTGCATAGAATACAAGATACATGTCATTAGCCTCCGGCCTCATCTTATACATGTCAAATACATTACAAAATGTGTACTTATGTACACATTACATACATGAAATCAAGGATACAAGTTTTGATACATGAGGCTACAAAAATGGCATTTCATGCTAACATTTGCATGAAATGGAAACTTAAAAGTTACAAGTCATCCAAGGAATGATGAGCATCACGAACTAAGTCTTCATACTTGAAAAATGTCCCCAGTAACTTCGGAGTGAATAACATAAAGCTACTCGTGAGCATGCATAGACCTAGCATTTTACAAAATTATCACCTTAAGGTGAAACAAGTTAAAGGGGCTCATGCCATCTAATGTCTATGTCAAGATGAGACTCGGGGAGCATCCTAAGCTACCTTAGATTATTTTTAGCATAAATCACTGTTGCCCAAGAATTGACTCTAGAGGGGGGGTGAATAGAGTTAATGCCAAACAATGGACAATTTTCGCAATATATAGAAATATAATTTCTATTCAACAATTTAAGTAATTATGTAATAATCAAGATATGAGATCAAGATATGGAATAAGCAATTAAAGCATAATTATAAAAGAGAAAAGGGAAGAGAAATTGCAAACTACAACACGGCGATTTTTGCGAGGTTCGGAAACTCCTACTCCTCGGCTCAAGATCCCTCTTGAGACTTCCCAATCCAATATAGCTTCTCCTTGCGGGTGGAGAGCAAACCTTTACATAAAGCAAGACCTTGCTTTTTTTCCTTGCTAGGAGAACACCCTTCTCCTAGGCTTCTTTTGGGTCACACCAACCCTTACAAGTTTGTAGAAAAGATTGTAATTGAAATACAAGATTGAATCTCTCTCAAGATAGATATACAAGTACAAGCTCACAAGAAATATCTCTCAAAGATTGATGTACAAACTTTAGCTCTCAACTAGAGTATATATGAATACAAGTGAAGCTCAAACTCTATAAATGATATGAATGAGAAAAGATGATATAAGTGAAGAATGTAAGTTTTTATAATCTCTCAAGTAAATAATAGAGCAAGAACTCTATGAAGATTAAAGCAAGAGCAAAAGCCCTTTTAATCTTTGCTAGAATCTCTCAAGATAGAATAAGAGTGAATGAGAGAGATGAGAAGATGAGAGAACAAAAGCTCTCTTGAAATATAATATTATGTCTCTCAAAATGGTGGTCTGTTTGCTTCAGCAAAATGAGCCTTCCTTATATAGACAGCCGTAGCTTAATATGTCTGTTAGAAGTAGTTGGAAGACTTAAATGCAGAAAAGTGCCGTTGTAGATTCAAATATCTTAGAAGAGCCTGCTCTTAAAACAAGTGAGCCGTCTCTTTGTTCATTTATTCCTTAGAAAGAGCCTGCTCTGTAAAACAAGAGAGGCGGCTCCCTAGCTTTGAGAGCCTGCTCTATAATTCTTTGGAGCCTGCTCTTTGGTTGGAAACATTAGTCCTTCGTTAAAAAGCCTACTGGAATTGAAAAGAGCCTTCTCTTTTATTTCATGGAGCCTTCTCCATCTCATTGAGCCTTCTCTAATTTTTCATGGAGCCTTCTCTATTCTTTGAGCCTTCTCTAATTCCCATTGAGCCTTCTCTAAATTTCATTGAGCAGGCTCTATTAGCCTTAAGAGAGCTGGCTCTATTTCTTATAGAGGTGGCTCTTGCTTCATGAAGGCTGCTGCTGAATTGGTTTGGACAGAAAAAGTTCATGACTTCAGATGGACATAACTCAGTCCATGAAACTCCAAATGAGGTGAAATTTAAGTCTAAATTTATTGCCTTGAAGTCAGCTTTCTAAATCCACTGGCCTTGCTCAAAAATTATAACCACAGAAATGGTTATGGTCGTTTTAGTGCAACCTGGTCAGAATTTTCGCAGACCAGAGATATGCATTTTGTAATACTCATATCTCATTCAATTCAAATCCTTTTTAGGTGAAATTTGAGTCTAAACTCAAGAGATCGAAGTCAGATTTCTAATGCACCTAGCCTTACTTAAAAATTCCAACTACGAAAATAGTTATAGCAGTTTTAGCATAGGCTGGTCTGGAAATTTTCTGGGTTGAAAATTGCTTCTTTTGAGATAACCATTTTTCTAGCACCTTGGACTTTGATAATGGTTCAATTTAGTTCAAGACCTATTTCTAAGAGTCTAGGGACATATAAGGATGATAAATATCAAGTTCATTGTGTCCTAGAGTCATTTACTAAATTATGGCAACAAAGGCTTTAAAGATGAAATATTAAGTTCAATGCCTTTTCCTTTTCTTTCTAGACACCAAAGTAAATCTTATGATTAATGTGCATGGTCCTAGCATTTCTAGCTCAAGTTGCGAGTTCTTTCAAAGCTTATGCAAGCTTGAACTAACCCTTTCTTAGCTGTAACGACCCACTCCACCACATGGTATGATATTGTCCGCTTTGGGCCTGAGCCCGCACGGTTTTGCTCTTGGGCTTCACCCTAAAAGGCCTCATACCAATTGGAGGTGACACACTTACATATAAGTACTTCACCTTTCCTCTACCCAGGCGATGTGGGACTGTGCACCTTTCCTCTACCCAGGCGATGTGGGACTGTGCACCCGTAGCTCGCCAGTGTGGTAGCCTGACAGTGTCTCTCACACCCGCCCACGGCACACCCGCCCACAGGGTCATCACAATCCACCCCCCTTGGAGGCCCGACGTCCCCGTCGGCACACTTCCGGCTGGGTCAGGCTCTGATACCATTTGTAACGACCCACTCCACCACATGGTATGATATTGTCCGCTTTGGGCCTGAGCCCGCACGGTTTTGCTCTTGGGAG